TCAGTGAAATACATTATTTTCTTTTAAGATAGGATGAAATTAAGATTTTAAAAAAAGATTTTCTGATTAATAAGTAAAAAGAATGACAAGAGATGTAACGGTTGAAGAAACACCTAAACATCAATGAACTTCCATTCTTAATCTGGTAACAAAGCATAGATATTCTTTGTATTCAGCAGAAGCTGTTATTGCTTTCATTCTTTGGTGATGCACTCCTTTTGGTGAATGGATTTTAATGAAGAAACTTGCGTTATTTTATTAAAGTTGGATTAAGGATTTATATCTGGTGGGTTGGGTCTGTTGAACCGGTAAGTACATCTATCATACTACACAGGCATATATTTTGCCAATGTGTATTGGAGCCTACTTTTTGGGAGACCATGAACTTCATTCATATTTACTTACTTTTAGGACTTTTCAAAGGCTAGAAAGAAGAAATTGGAATTAAGAGCTCTGACCAGGGTTAACATGATTTTGACTGGTATTCAAAGTCCAAAATACTATATATTGTTTTTCCTCCCAAGAGGAAAGGAACAAGGATGTCTCTTGAATTTTTTTTCATAAATATTTACAATATTGATTTCATCCTGTATGAATGAATCAACTGAATGAATCAATCAGAAGATGGAAAGTTAAATAGTGACGAGTGATGTACTAAGATAAAAAAGCAATAGTTGTTTGGATGTATACTTGATAACATAAAAATAAAGTGCTCAATCAAAAATAAGAAAGTCCCCAAAACTGGCATTGGTTTAAGAGCAGAAAGTAATAGAAGTTCACTAGTTTAAATGGTTTCATATATTATCACATTATCTATTCAAAGAACTAACCAGAAATAACACAACCTTAAAGTACTGCCATGAAAAACAAGCCTTTTGGTTATCTACTGACTATTTTTGACATCTTTGTTAAAGTCCCCCCTCCCCCACCAATTGGTTATTTTGTTAGTTTCACTTTCTTCTGTGCAATTGTCTCATGACCACACTGTAATGTGAAAATGCAATCTGTAGTAGACAATATGTACAAATTTGGTACCATCTATTTGCAAGACCAATCTTTACGGAAGAAATGCAAGCAGCAAAGTATATACATGTGAAATAACAAGTTTAAAATAAACAGAGAGAATCTGCAAAAAGTGTTCATTTTAAGGCAATAATGAAACCACAAGACACATCAGCATCAACTAATAATCCCTTAACTATAGCTAAAAGGTCATAATGTAAGTATGTTAAAGGAAGGGCTGGGAATGTTAGACTTTCAAAAGTTGTCTGAAGTCAGTAAGAAAGCATACCACATTGATAGTTTAAAAGCCAATGTTAAAAGGTTAAAATACTTTTTTTTCAGTTTTCTGGGATGGTGTTGTTCTTGAACTTATTCTCTCTATTTACTCATGAAAGCAGAGCTAATAAAAATTGTTCCCCAAATCAAGCTAGACTATATCTCTGCTATCTTGCATTGGAAAATAAAAGCAGCAGACAAAATAAAAAAAAATGAGTAAATTCTCTGATAGTGACTCCAGAAAATCTGGATCCAAATTTAGCGGTAACCTTTCCAGTCTAGGAAGGTTGTTTACCTAATATTTCAAAAAATAAAATAAAAATAAAAATAAAGGAGGTTAAGCATAATGCTGGTGAATCTAATGTGATCAATAGCCTTCCCCCTTGTTTTGCTTTACTCTGAGGAACAAGTAGGACATGATATTTACAACAGCATCAGTAGTGGAAGAGGGAAGCTGGCCACATATATCTGAATATGCAACTCAGATTGCAGCTGTAATTCTATTCAGTTATTTGAGTGTAAGCACCATAACATTTAATGAGATTTATTTCTGATAAACTTGCTCAACTGCACTAATATTTGCAAAGAGAAATTACTATTTTTTGTTTTGCTTTTAATGACTACCTAATGTACAAAAACAATAACATTTGGCTTTTAATGAGAACGCTGTGTTGCTTTTCTTCTCTAGGCAAATTCTCCTATTTCTCTAAAGAAATTAATTTGATAATATACAGAGAGTCAAGACAATACAGAAACTGTTAATATAAAAAGCAATGTAGTTTTAGTATGCTGAATATGAAAAGATTCAAATTAACTGCAGCAGGTGAAAAGTGAATAGTAAATGTGAAAGTATTTGCTATTATACAATCACAGCAGGTTCAAAGGTACAAAGGAATATACTGTATGTGTAGTGTATATATAATATATATTTATATGGATGTGTTATATATTGATACAAAGATGTACATATTGTGTACTTAAGGTCTAGTTTTCAGAAATACTGTAATGTAGTTTTATGTACTTAACTAAGCAGAGCTAAATAGCAACTTGTCCTCTTCCACTAAGTCACTAGTACTATTTTATTTTAAAAAACATTTATTTAAAAAAGAAAAAAATACATTTACGGTCACTGACATTTGATTATGAAAAAGTTAATGTACAATTGTTAACAAAAATATTCTCCCCAGATGGATACCAACATTGTTCCAGAGAGGGAGGGAAAATGCCACTAACACAAGCAACTCAACTTTGTGAAGAAAGATAACTATGTCTGAAATGTTCAATGGTGTTAAAAATTATGGAGTGAAGAAAATATCTGAGATCACTTTAAACCTATCATGTTTCTAAAGTATGCTCTGATCTGGTCATCTAAGCCACTTAACAAAGTAGTATAACTTAAGAGAGTAAGTTCTCAAATATATGAAGAATATGGTCTGAAATCACAAAACATTCTACCACTTCTTCCATCACACGATAACATATTGGTCTGTAAGAGTAAATTGGAACATTCATTCTTAGAAATACACTGGCAAAGGCCACATTGGTTTGAGAAACATTAGTCACTTGTAGATTGAATGAGAAGATAGAAATGGGAGCATGTGTGCACTCACACACAAAAATATCCCATTAGTTTATAGTAAATGGACAAGATGATTAATTATGGGCTACAGACCAATGTAATTTGTATTCTGGTTGTAGCATTTGGAAGTCCAATTTGATAGTCAATTGTGTTCCATTGCTATTTCTATGCTTGGCACCTTCCCCCCAAATATTGATCAAGCTCTCTGATGTAACCAAAGTGAACAAAGAAAAACCACAAGGTATTCATACAATGGAGCATTCTGTGGTTTTTAAGGCTACATAATACTCTGAGAATATATAGTATCTGTCCCTGCTGCAATGATATATTGATGTGTCAAGATACATGAGTCAATCTTAGAATTTAGTGGGACTCTATCAACTGATATGGGATCTATGAATGTGTCAGTATATATGTATCCTTAGTTCAATGATGAGTAAACTAGAAGTCTGCAGCCAATATTGTGAATAACCTAGCCCTCTTTCAACTGTGCTTCACTTTGGACATAAGCTCAGAGTCCCCAGTCTTATATTTATTTTCTTTTTATGTTGAAGCCTTAGGTTGTTGCTGCCAAAAAAAGAGAGAATTCCTCTAATCTTAGGTTCTCCAGATGTTTTGGATTTCAGCTCCCAGAATCCAATTTGCATAATGTTTCTGAGAACTGATGTCCCAAATATCTGGAGATCCAAAGTTTGGGTTAGAAGACAAAAGGGAGTCTTACCATGGACTGAAAGTAATCAAGACTACAGTTAAAACTGAAGAAGGCAAAAAATCAAATTCTGTGCTCCTGAGCAAACCACCACCTGTTTGGAAATACTCACATCAAATCCAGTGTTATTGAATAAAAGACAACAATTCTATGAATGCTTGCTTTAGTCATCTGAAGAGTGCAAGAAAGGTATTATGGGGGACGGGACTTTTAAGTATCTCAGGAGAAAGTGGCAGTTGAGACTTCTGCTTCTAACACATTCACTTCTGTTTCTTTTTGTTTTCCCTTTCCTCAATTACTACTTTGTCAGCAGGGTAGAGGGAACAAAATCAGTCTGAGGTGTGAGTATATGGATGTCAGATACAAGTGTTGCTTCTTTCTGTGAATTAACTGGAGACAAAAACAATTATCCCACAATGATTCCACTTTAACTTCTGTGGCAACAACTTATGAAATCCTGGGGTTTGTAAGGTGGTAGAGTACTACAGCTCTCTGACTGAGAATTCTTTAGAATTTAGAAATACCTCTCCATAAAACCCAAATCTCATGTTCCCAAAGGATGGAATCATGGCAGTTAAAGTAGAACCATAGTATTGAAGTTGTGTTATGTGAAAGTATCATACGTGCAGGTTCTCCCAATTCTACTGTACACTGACTGTGTGTCTGCTTTATTCAAAAGATCTTTATTCTTTTTTTCATCCGCTGCGGGTCACAGGGAGCAGAAGGAAAGCGCTAACTCTTTTTTGCTCCCCGGAGCCTAGCACAAAGTCATTCTTTATCTGTTCTGTCATCTCTTTGATACAGGGGAGGGCAGAGTGGTGATCCTTGCCTTTTCATTTCCACACAGAAATAACTCCCTATATATGGGATATTTTCTTCATTACATTCAAGGGAGGAGAATGCAGGTAGGTTGCAGATGGTCTTGAACACAGAGGTGCCTTAATGGTGATGTTTCACAGACACAAGTGCATTGCAATAATTGTTGCAATCAAGCTTGCAATCACAAATTCTTTTTCAATCTAAATACAGTTATTAGACCATGGACCTCTGTAACAATATTCAACACAGTCAATGTACAGAAGACAATTGGGGAAAGTGCTCCACGTTTCAACAAAATTGATATCTATTGTGATTCTCCCTGAAAGTTACTGTATCCTACCAGATACTGCGCAAAGGCATAGGCATGGTCAATCCATGGTTCCAAATGGTTCTAAAGTACTTACAAAACTAGGGGGTGCTGATGCTTTGCTTCTAAAGTGTTGCTAAAATTCTGGTGGTGAAATTTTCTGAACTCTAACAACACTTTCAAAATGTTGTTATAAATGGCAGTTCCTAAGTGGTTCTGTCATAATAATCACCAATAATGAAATAATAATAACATTTTGAACGTTTTGTTACAGTGCTGAAATTTTCACCACTAGAACTTTAGCAACACTTTAGAAGAAAAGCACCAGCACCCACTAGTTTTGTAAGAACTTATTTAGAACCGTGGATTGACCATGTCTACAAAGGCATATCTGAGACCTGAATACAATTCAGCATTAGAAAAAAACATGCCTGTTATGTAAAAGAAACTTAGATGAAAACATCTGACAGTGAAAGTAATAATCTGAAATGCCACCTGGCAATGACTAAAAAAGAAGGTAATTAGATAACGGTATATCATTCAGTGCTCTGGGTTTTTAAAAACTATATTGTAATTCATAAACAAGCTGCAAAATTATTTTTGCAATGCTTAATGGAAATCATTGATAGACTAAACACACACACACACACACACACACAAGACTTGATATCATCCTTGCTCTCCCCCCACATTAAAATTGTTTTAGAAACTTGCTCTGCTCATTTGCACTAAGGCTAGTGCCAGTTCTTCCTATTTCATCTGACTGTAAGCATACTCTGTAATATGCTGCAATGTGTAATTACTGCCATGGTACAACTGCATGGCGATATTAACACCTTGGTATAGCAGCATATTCATAACCACAGCAATAATTGCATGCTAAAACAAACCAAATGCTTTGTTGGTAGCACTTTCTCCTTTCAACGTGGCACGATTCCAATCAGGTAAATCAAATATGAGTTTTACTCCATGGAAAGTTGTGCAAAAAATAGAATAATGTATAATATTTGAATCTTTGTTACAGCATTCCTCCCATAAAAAGAAATGTGCCAACACAAACCATACTTGTTCCAGATCAGAGGAAATAACAAAGGTAAAATAAATAAATGGACCTAGTTGAAGAAAATAGATAATTTCCCAATCTAATCCAAATTGTTTAGTTAAAAGTAAAACAAAACATTGATAGCATCTCTCTGGATTAAAATTAGATATGTACCAGAAAGGACTGGAGACAATGAGCAGCAGGTTTAGGGGAGGTCTTGTACACCCCTTAAAACACCAATTGAAAGTTGACCCCCCCTATGCTATGTGATTATGATAAAACACACAGAAGTTCCATGTCTCATTTGTATAGGGGTTATTTGCCACATCTGTCAATTTAGATACATTTACTGATGAAAATAGATTGAAAAGTTACTATCAATATAATACCAGGACAACTGAAAGCTTTTGTCCATCATGAATCCAAAATACAACATATTGACTGACACCCAACAGGCACAGTACAGTGCAAATACACAGCAGCTACTTTAATAGTAGCACCAATATTTCCCAGCTAATGGACTCTTCACAGCTCTCTCAACCCTTCCCATCTCATATACTATCGCAGTTTAAAATCAAAACTAAATATGCAGCATTTCATACAAATGAATGGATATTTTAAAATCATATATCTTTATGTTGGTATAAAAAATAATACACCCCTCCCTCTTTTTATTGTTTTAAGGCAGCAATCCTACATAAGGCTGCAATACAATTGCTTCTCAGAGAAAAAAATCAATTTTTTCTAAGCAACTTCTGTGGTATTACAGTACGAATATTTCAGAGTTACATTGTGAAGTTAAGATTAAGACTCCCAACAGTAGAGAGATTTGGAATAAATATTATTTTCATGGATGCTATATTTTTGGATGATTCTTCCTCTTCGAAACTATAGTCCCATAGAGCTGATGTTGTGTATCTGTTTCCTAAACTATTTTGGCTATTTCATGGAGGTGCCATTTTAAGGAGAGGCAAGGGGCTTAGTCGTAGAGCATTTGCTTGACCTGTAGAAGGCTCCAAATTCTGTTTCTGGCCTCTCCAGTAAAAGAGTTAGGTAGCAGGTGACAGAAAAGACAATTATCTGCCTGAGATGCTGCTGAGCTTCTGAAAGTAAAAACAACAAACACTGATCTTGGTGGGAACACAGTCTGATAGTGATGTTGTAGAAAGCTACTTCCTACTATGATGTAGAATTTGCATACATGTGATTTAAATATTTAAATTACATGTATGCTGTTTCATTGAAGGGAAGTCATGAGATTTCAAGACACCTTTTACTGTACATATTAACTCATTTTCTTGGATGTGGGGAAACGAACAAAAACAACGAACTTAATTACTGCCAACCAATGCACAAAGGAATGTGATGTTTGTCTTGAACACATTGGCTATTTACAATTGCTTGTCTATAACTCAAATGTATCTTTAACTGTTTTAAATAAATGTCAAAAAAACTGCCATTACTTTTATTATAGAGCTGGATTTTTGTTCCAAGACAAACTCATCAATTATGAGTTATTGTCTATGGGATTATAACAGGGATAAAATGAAAGCATTGCAATTTTACTTATTTTTCACCCTTCTAATTATGTGTTTATAGTCTTCCAACAGGTATACTGTATTTACTAGATTACTCATATTATTTTATTACTGCCAGATGCCACTTAGAATGACCTTAAGGCTAAAAGATCACCTAAAGTTTGGAACTTCCAAATTTCTTTCATTCTCCCTTTGATTATTATGAGCCAAATGAAGAGTTTGATGACTTCAAAAACTTTTCACACTATTGTAGAATTGCAACTGATCCTAATGACTACAAGTACATCTGCTAAAAAGTCCAATTTGAGGGATATTTGTTTTGCTTTCTTTTGAAGCAACACAGCTACATTTGCTTCTGTATTTGCCACTTCCTGCAGAGTTCGGAATTAATGTAGAAATAAAAACAATCTATCTCACTTTCTGACTGCTTTATGTTAGAAAAAGCGTCCAGTACTTGGGGCAATCAACATTGCTCAGAACGATGTAAGTATATATAAAAATATGTTGATAATGTAGTCCAGACAACTGTCTTCCAATATTTTCTGTATGTTTGTTTTGGGAGTGAGCATTACAAGTTTTGTATCAAAAGTATATGACAGTATACTTTCTTTAAGCAAATCATACAAATGACATTCAGTACATTCAATTTAATATAAGGTTAGGGATATTCACCTACCTATAGTCTCTGCCTAAAAGCCCTTGTCTAGTAGTCCAAATATGGAGAATAACACTTGAATTTTTGCACTATGTGTTGGTACAACTACAGGTAATGTCTCATCATCCTTAGAGCTCAACTGGAACAATAAGATGCTTGTACTTGGGGGATTCATAGACTCCAACATTTCACAGATGAAAACTAGAACAGATGTGACCAAGCAATATTATAGTCAAGATAGCAGAGGAAGAATACATAAGCCAGGAAAGGCTGCAGCAGTGTGATTTTGCCTGAGTATACGGTAGGACAGGATTTCTCCCTCTCCTCTCTGCTGAGTTTACTGAGCGCAAAACCACTTTTTCACTCTGAATTCAGTTAATATGTACATATATGCAGTGTGTAACATTTATGAACTTTTAAGTTTCACTCTTTTCAGCAGCCACATAATCTAGGCCCTTGATTGTTCTATGCGTAGATTTGAATGCTTATTTTTAAAGGAAATTCACATTATTTTGGTGAGCACTGGATTTTCTAATTTAATATTGCTGATTTACACAAGGGAGATTACATACTTTGGATCCAAATTAATCCACATAGTGAATCAGGGAATCTTTAAGTTAGTAAAGATGGTGCAAAAAGTATGACAGAATGATATATAGAACTACATGAGTCATAGGTTTTTTAAAAAAATTCTGGCACAGTGCTCTGAAGTTGATGTAGGCCTGCACTACAATATTATGTAGAAAGCAATGAATGAATTGCTTGCAGATGGGAAGTGGGGGGGGGGGGGAGAACTCGAAGTCCAGCTTGGGGGGGGGGGGGGGCTGAAAAAGGTGGAGGAAGGCCTTGAGGTTGGAGTCCAGAGTTTTGGAGAAGAGATTTGGACCAGATAGGTCCTCACTGACCGCTTAATTGTTTTGTTTAGAATCTAAAGCAAAACACATTATAATACATGAAGACGACCTTTTGAAATATACTGTCATATAGTTTTGTCCAGTCCCTGCTCTGTTTTCTCATTTTTTCTACACATTTCTTTCTGATGCAGATATTGTTTGTCCTTGGACTCTGAAATATTACAGTGAAAGTCAGTGTTTTATATGTTTAATCCTATGCACATTTTCCTGAATTCAAAGTTCTCTTATTAGGCTTCATTATATATTTCATCTTGTTTAGTAAGGACCACAGTGTGATATTAATTTATACTGAAATCCTTGGGATTACCTTCCATTTAAATTGTTTAGGATTGAGATGTTATATTTCCTGACTCATCAGTGGGACAGAATCCAAATGGTCAAAGTACAGGCATAGAACCTTACATATCTTTCTCTTTCTGATGCAAATCTTTTTGAAAGTCTGGAAACAGAATCAGGTTTTGCCAAAAATATCACAGCGTGACTGTTAAAGATTTGAAGACAAGCCTATGTAGATTTGTAGCAAGTATTAGGTTAGAAATGACATCATATGAAGATATTTTCAATGAGATATATTCAATGCAATGATTTCATCCCAGCTAAATTATTGAATAAGACTGCAATCCTATATATACTTAAATGACAGTAAATCTCATTGAATTCAGTGGTATTTACTTCTGAGAATACATGCATAGGATTGTGCTATAGAATAGAAAGATTCCTCCACAAGGAATAGCTGGATAAGTTTCAAATTGCTAACATGGAGGAGTGTCTAATAAATCTCGCAGCCTGCCTCTCTCTCAATATTTTACGTGGAATGGGTCCCATTGAATTCCATGGGCATTTTTTTTCCTGTGAAACATGCTGGATTAGGAATGCAACCTCAAAATATTTGGTTGAAAATGAGATACACTAAAATTAAGTTTCTCTTTGTCCTTGTCTTTGTATGTTATGATAAATAATTTTTGCCTGGCTAGAAATTACTGAATCAAGACACATGGAACATATGCTTACTGGAGTTGTTACAAATTGGTCCAATTAATCTAGGCACCCAAACAGTGTCAGTTGCTTTTGTGGGATGCTGTATATGATCAAAAACTGTGTTAGGAAGAGAGGAAGTCATCGGTACAAAAATTAGAAGACTCTTGACTAACTTACTCTGCTTTGGATGAGCAGAGAAAGCAAAATGTGACCTATTAATTTTAACATTTTTGTAGATGAAAAAGAGGGAAGATAAATTCTACTTTTAAGGAAAATGAAAAAATGACATTTAAGTAAACTAGACATTCAACTGTGGATTACTATGGATAATAATAGGATGTATAAGAACAATCTCAGTAAGTGAACATATCTTCTTTTTCACTTTGGGGACTTACAGACCTCATGATAAAAACCAATGGCTGGAGAAATAGTGTTAATACCTTGTTTCTGGAAACTAAATTCCTCTCATCTAAAGCTTAGATGGAACCCCATTTTTAAAACCCCCCAAGGAAATAATAAAACCAAATTCAGAACAGCTTTTCAAGTGACACTACAAATTGGACACTAGAAGATGAAAGAAATCACATACAAATATCACTCTACTCCCAGGTTACTACTCTCAAACTAATAACAAGCACAGAGAAAAAACAACAGAAAATAAGTTGACTCACATGTTCCTCTTCTTTGAAAAAAACCATTAGGATCACCTCACTCTGCTTTTGTCTCTTGCTATTTGGAAGTAGGATACCTAACCTTAACAGTCTTTATCTACAACAATATATATATGTATATGTGTGTGTGTTTATTATATATATATTCATACATACATATGTGTGTATATATATATGTATATATATCTACACACACATACACACATATATATTCAGTTACATAAACTGAGCAGATATTAGTGGCAGTGTATGCAAAACAAAAGAGAAAACAAAAATTACTTTAACAAGGTTACACTTTTGTTTTTTGTTTTTTTACACAAATACTGTGGTAAATATATTTTTTTAAAAATCAGCACTCTATCTGGTAAACACCACTTCTGTCCCTCTATAAAATTCTGAATTAAAAAAAAATCTTGAGAACTCTTTTTAGTTGCTCCCCACCCACATTCTACTTTACTTCCCTCCACAAGAATAAATCTTGATGCAGCCTTTTTGATTTTTACCCCCAGAGATTGTGGGAGCTAATCCTTTCTTGTACCTAGAATACTAGGTGAAAAAAAAACCTCTTGATTTTTTTTCCTTTTGCTGTTTCTCTTTGATATTTGCAAAAGTCCCACTGATTGTGCTGAGAGCTTGAGCTCAGCCAAGACACTGAATAAATTACGAAAAAGCCACCTTTGCCCACCTCATTTTTTTGTCATTGTTTCTAGCTTTTGATGAAAGATGTTGTTGGTGTTAGTGGGGGAGAAAGAAGTTGGGGGTCATGAATCAGAATGTGTGGAATGGAACAGAATCCACAAGAGGAACCTAGTATTCTCCTTCCCCATCCTGCAGGGACTCCACACCATCCAACCCGAACTCCCTTGAGCTTCTCTGCAGCCCTTTTTGTGATAACGACTAATGGCAGAAACCAATAGGGCCTGTTTTCTGTGGTTGTGACTCAAACATACGGTTCTCTTCCACAGTTTTAACTGGATACTGTGAAGTCCAAAGCGGTCAGAATTGTGAATCTGTCCACTGAAACACTGCAAGCGGTGTACTTACGACAGTAGGCCTTGTAGATTTCTTATTTCTCTTTGTTGTTGTTGTTGTTTTGTAGTGCTCTTCATAAGTGACAAAAAAGATTTTTAAAAGTTTTTTTGTAGTAAAGAAGGGTTGTATTTAGAGGCCAGTAGCTAGAGATCCAACCAGTAGATCTCCTGAAACACTATCTGGCCTTAAGGCCACCATCAAAGGAAGGCTGAGATAATTACTATTCACCCAGCTTCCAGAAATGTAATGTACCAGCAGGCAAAAAACAGTTCTTCATGTAGTACAAAAATGAAATGAAAATAAACAAACAAAAAAAGTAAAAATGAAAAAAAAAATCTAGTGCCATATCTTTTTGTTGTCGTTTCTCTGGTTGGGCTTTTTTGTTCATATCAGAACAGGTTTACTTATCCATCTGAAACATGCATCCTCATGTGGTCATTGAAATGCTCAATTTGGTCAAATTTAGCTGGACAGACAGAGCAGACATACGTGGTTCCCTCTGCACAGGCCAACACTCCAGTGGGAAGAGCCCTTGCACCAGTGCTGGTTGTGCTAGGTGTTCCATTGGTGGCACTATGCAGAGCCACGTGTCTTTCGAGCAGGGTCTTGTGGGAGAATTTCTTCTTGCAGATGTAGCATTCGTAGGATTTCTCCCCTCGGTGGAGCCGCATGTGCACGTTTAGGGAGCTCTTCTGGGTAAAACGCTTGTTGCAGATGCTGCATTGGTAGGCTCTGACACCAGTGTGAGTCACCATATGTTTGATTAGGTAATCCTTTAGGGAGAAGGACCGCCAACAGATGCTGCATTGGTGGGGCTTCTCACCTGCGCAGAGGCACAAAGGAAAGACATGCAGGGAAGGGGGAAGAACAGGAGGGAAACTATTTAAAACCAACTTAAATCATATAGAACAGCCCAGTTTCAGTTCTAATTGCAAAACAACTAATTTGGAAAGGAAATGTTGCTTGTTTACTCAAAAAATAGAAAATAAAGTCATTTGACCTTGGCAATCAAGAACATGTTTATGGTCTCCTAACTCTTTGCGTTATGTTTTATTTAAGACCTACCATACCATGAACAATACCAATGCATATATATGATGCACTGGGCTTTGCTTCATTGTGCATTGTCAGGAATCAGTTTTGAAGACAAACATTAGTGTTTGCCATCTTATAAGGGAAGCAAATCTAAAAGGCAATAATAGCCGAGAATGTTTTTCTATGAAGCCAACTGCTAAGTCAAAATCTACCATGGCTGCAACAATATTCATTCGCATGTCCAAAATAAATGTCAGCTTCATTGAACTGACTTATGCACTAATAACTATGGAAGAAGGCTGATAGAAGAAGTGGAGGGGTATTGCTTGGCTGAACTGTTGACTCTACCTTCTTGCCAGGTATCTAAACCGGCATTTTACTGGAGGAGTGAACTGAAGGGTGAAAGTTAAAGGGCTCAAAACCCCAGGACAAGAAGTGACCAGACATGGAATGAGAATCAGAAGAGAAGAGCAAATTAATCTTATTCGAAAAGAGAAGTTGGAGGCCAGAAAGATAATGAAATTTAAAATATGGAGTTTAGATAAAGATGATAATATGGTATCAGCTCAATATCAAACAGAGAAGGCTAGACCATTTTTTTGCCATTAGAAATAGAAAATATAAGGAACATCAGGAGAGAATGTTTCTAGAACATGGCCATATAGCCTGAAAAACCTACAACAACCCTGAAAATATGTCTTCTTTGGGGCTGTCAATCCTATTTGGGAATGGTTGTGATCCACTATACTAAACACTGGAAGTACAATTATCTCCTGGTTTTGAAGAGGAGAAAAGTAAAATAGAAAAAAAAATCAGTGAAATATACATTAGGAACAAAGAGTTGCAGTTTTAATACTTCTGGAATTCCTTTTTAAAAAGAATGGAAGTAATTTCAAAGTAAAGATTCAGTTCTTGAGCAAAGTAGAATTAATGAATGTAGTATACTAAAGTAGTATCTTAATAAGTTTTTATTTTAACCAACATCAAGATGATATAACTAATGGTAATTTCCTTGTAATCCCTTAATGGTGAAGAGTAGATTTTTCCTCTAAAATATCTAGTGATGCGGTATTTGAATGAAAGTAGAAGGCTACTTCCAGCACTTTTAAATTTTCAAATTACACCCCTGACATGATTATTTAATGAGTTTCAAATGTGAGCTGATGCCAATTTTAATCTATTGTGCAGTTGAAATTTTTATTGTGCAGTCAACATTTCTTTACATTTTTCCTATAACAGAACGAGTTCTGAATGCTTCACTACAAGCTTGCTTTCCTATTATTATTACACAGGTTTGGCTTAGGACATAAGGCCAGTGGCTTTAAAAAAACTTAAAATTAACTCCTTTGGTTTACTATCCTTTGTTTTGCATGAAAGCTATTAATTTAAAATATACAGTATTTATTTGTCTTTTCATTACAACAGTCAAATTTAGAAATGTTTGCTCTATTTTGGTAAACGTTTAACGTTCTAGCATGACCTAGATGCCCTAAGGAAGAAAATAGAGGTTTGTCAGGTTACAGCCATACTTATTTTTCCTCTTACTCACACTGTCCTTCCTTCTCTCTCTTTTCAGACATTTCCCTCCATCTTTTGGAAGCCTAAGAATTCTTCCTAACTCTAACCAGCAAAGGTAATGGGTTCTTCTTCACAAATGCCAAAAAGCTTACTCAGCTGTCTTTAGGATTTGTGCAAAATGACTTGTAACTAGGACCTAGTGCTCTCCAGTAAATTGTGTCAGTCAGTTGGATATACACAGAATTTCCAGATCTAAAATGTATTTTTATGCCAAACTTTATTTCTGAAGATTTTAATTCCTCAGTAATGAATAGTATGTAAAATAATAGAAAAAAATTAAAATCATTTGTAAAGTTCCAACAGGAAAATGCATAAGTACAGATGAGAAATCTATGGACCAGCCCTTTGAAGAATGACTGGGAACTGCAATGGCTAATGAACAATATCCAAACAAATTTTGAATTTGTGGCTCTTAAATTTTTAGGTTGTAACACTTCATGATTAGTAAAATTTTATGCAGCTAATCAGAAGCTGAAATACTGGGTTTGGTTCTGAGTTGAAGAATTACCATAGGAGTTAAAATATTCAGAGAAGAACTATAGTGATCATGAAGGAAGACAAATCTTATAAGGATAGATATAAGAAACGCACATGTTTAATTCAGAAAATATAGGAAGAGTATATTCTGAAATTTAAAAAAAATCTCAAAAGGGAGAAGAATAGTTTGTATTATTAAACAGAATAAGAAACAGCAAAACTAACTGCACATGGGACTAAATCTAAAAATGCAGAAACGTATCCAAGCTATCACTGGTTTTGAAGACGGTGTTGCACTTTTGTATCCAATACAATGTCATATGAGCAATTTTTTTAAAAGAAAAAAGCAACCTTTCCCCTACATTAGAGTGATAAACGAAAAGCATCTTCAAATCAACTGCATATTTATAAATGTGCTTTTTCTTTACACTCAGAGTCTTACCCACAAAGGAAAGGACGACATACTCACCTGTATGTACAAACATGTGCTTGACATAATTCTGTTTGGCGGTGAAAGTCTTGTTGCAGAGGGTACACTCATAAGGCTTTTTTTCACCCTGCCCACCTGCTGTGCTGTGGCCTGCAGAAGGAGTCAGGGGTTGTGGGGCTGGCAGTTGGGCAGTAAAAGTTGACAGGCCAGGCTGGGACACTGTCACAAATTGTGTCTGCTGGCCTAAGGATTGGGGTAGGCTGAAGAGAAAAGGCTTAGAACCACTGCCAGCAGTCTGTGTAGTAAAGAGTGCAGGCAGGTAAGTATTGCCAGCTGTGCCGATGACTTGTGTGTTGCTGGTCAGGGTCAGCGGCATCCTCAGATTGCTGGTGAGAGTTTCTGTCTGGCGTAAGTAGAGCTGTGTACTTGGCAATGTTTGGGCAACAGTTGTAGTGATTGAAGGCTGCAAAGTCCCCTTTTCAGTGCTGTTACTAACAGTGAGTAGTGTGCTGTCCCTTTCAATGTCATTGCCTCTCTCTGGTGAGGAGGAATTGGCATCTGTGTGCTGCCGCTGAATGCTTTCAACAGAAGCTTCGTTTTGTTCTGCTTGAGGAGCCTCTTGTTGACCTTCTCGGTTTACACCAGTTATGAATGGTTGCTCAACAGAATCTGGTTCAGTGCCAATAGAAGAACTGACTCCAGAGTCAAAGCTTTCCCCCTTAGGTTCACTCTCAGTGCCTTCTGCTTGATCTGTATCCTCAGTGCATTCCTCAGACTCATTGCGCTCTAGGATCTGTACTCTCTGCTGTCCGTAGTAGTCATAGTCATCTTCCATTTCTTGCTTGATGTGAATATTGCCCACTAATGTTTGGATCCGAACTGGGCGTGGTTGTTTCCGGCAATGTGTGGTTTCTGGAGTAGTGGAGAGATACCGCTCCATCTGCTGCTGTGAGCGCTCATGGATCCGTGTAATCCAGCTGGGCTCCTCCATATGATGGTCTCTGGGAAGTCCAAGTGCTGTTTCATGGTGGCTGACCACTGCTCCACTGTAGAATGAACGCTCTCCACTACCATTCTGCATAGAACAGGCATACAAAGCTGAGTAGATCCTGTCTACACTGTGTTGTGAGTGGCTTTGCAGGTAGCCAGATTCTGTGTCACTGCTCTGCCCTGAAGTGGCTGATTCAGGAGTTCCTCGAGGTGTCTCTTGGCCAGAATCTTGGATGACTGGATAAATGTCACCCACATTCTGTGAGACAATCCGTGTGCATTCATCGATCACAGTCTTGATCTGCAGGATGCTGGCTGCTGTGAGGATCTGCAAGGCCTCTGACTGGGAAACTCGCAGCACCCCACTGTACATGAAGTCAATGAGCTTTTGTACTGACTGGACTGACACCACAGAGGGAATTTCGATGTCACTGTAGCCCAGTAACAGCTTGTCCTGGAAGAAGGGGCTGCCAGCCGCCAACACACAACGGTGGGCGCGCAGCATGCTCCCGTGAATGCGGACTGTCACATCACAGAAGTGGCCACGGTTGCGTTGCTCGTTAAGGGTTTCGAGCACAGAATTGCTGAAGTTGTGGAGATTGATGCTGTGAATGCGCTCTGTCATCCCCTTGCAACTAATGTTACCTGCAGTAGCAGAAGAAGAGACAAAACAGGAAGACAGGTAAGTCTGAAACCTTTATGCTGGCTTTTTCTCAACAAAGGGCTACACACTGAACATCTAAAGAAGTAAAATCTAGTTTCAGCTCCCTAATCTATTAAATTATAAAATTCTCTAGTTCAGTGATGCTCAAATTCAAGATTTTAAGTTCCAGTTTATTAAAGCATTAGGGAAAGTATGCTAAAATACAGGTTCACTAAAGGTATTACTTGAGGTATATGATGCCCATTTAATTAAAGAGAAAGCAAACTCACAGCCACCTCTTTTGGAGCATGTGAAATATCTTTTTGTAATAATGGATAGCTAATCGGGTGTTTTTCCTCCAAAGTGTACTTAAAAATTCTTATTGGATAGCTGTGTCCTTCCCTCCTTGCTTTAAAGAAGCAAAGTCAGTGAAGTATGTGTATTCAGTTGTACATAAAAATATTAAAATATTTACTACCTACTAGTACATAATTTTTAGAAGAAACTATATTAAATTTTAATGCAAATCACAGCATCTAGCATGTGTAGTCCTAAGGAAGTAACTACCTGCATATGTAAGACCTTCAATGACATAAAGTAAAGTAAAGCAAGGCAGCTTTTGTAGAGGAAAAGCAGAACTATAATGTAGACATTTGCACATAGTTGTAAATGGCCAATGTACGTAATCATAAACATGGCTGTGCTCTGCAGTGTAGAAGAAAGGCCAGGCAAATTTTGGACAGACAAGGCTAAGAAACATAGAATGTGAAGCAAAGATATTACTACATAAAGACATGATTTCACTTCTATTATTTCTACCACATCATAGATAATTTCAATTTTCTATGATTTACCAGTATAGGAAAGATATGAAGACACAATACATAGATGGCACTTCTTCTTTAGAAAGGCAGGTAAAAAATGCCATTTATGTGAGGAACAGATTTTTGAGAACCCAACTCAGTATCGAACAAGGTCCTCCAAATGTGCTGTATGACATATTGTCTCAGAGCAGTCTTTGGTATCTACTAAACCCAACCACTCATTTTAAAATAAATTTAAGCTTTTAAAGCTGAGCCAAAGTAAAATTACAAAATTCAGAAAAAGGGAATATATTGATGGCTAGCAAGAAAACCCATAAATAAGATTATATTCAAATAATGAATCTCTCCACATGGAAAACTCCTCATGTTGTCAATCAAAAGACATTGTGCAGCTATTCCTCTTTTTTCTTTCTTATTCAGTTTTATTTGAAAAGGTCCAGACTCCTAGGATCCCTGCTATAGACAGATTGCCGCTTCAATGTGAGTGGACATTGTGTGTAATCAGATGCAGAGATTCATGTTAGGATCTTATGTTTCCTTTGAAATTGGCTGAATGTTGGCTTTAAACCAATTGTGCAGCTTTCTACAGCATACTGGCTGCTTATGTGCTTCCATATCTATGAAGTATTCAAAATTTCCAGCAAAACATTTCCTTTTCTAAATTACTCCTTTCCATTCTTATTTAAATCCTGCCCACACAGGATGATAGTTTTTTCCTAGATTTCCTGAAAGTAGGAAGGCTAAGGATGGACTCTGGAGAAAATCAGAGTTGAAGGATGGAGCAATCAGATTACTGGCTACTCTCAATCCTGTGACTTTCTCAGGGCATCCAAAACGAGGCTGCTGGAGGCTACCTAGGAGAATTAACCCAAAGTGGGACCCCTCCCTTCCACACACACCTGAATATGTGTAATGGAACCCCTCTCCAGACTGGCCCTGTATTTCCAACCCATGAACTCTTGGCACTCCCCCTGCCCTTTTGCTCAATAGGTCCTATCCAGGATCCAGTAATTGAGTCTCACGATGACCCCTACTATGACCAAGCGGTTCTGTTGATTAGTTCAATATGTTAAATGTAGTCAAACTTCTTGCAATTTTCAAATGAAACAGCCAAATACAGTTGTAAAAAATAAAGCAAGTAAAGATTTATTATATCAAATTAAAGTGCAGGTTATTACCTATAAAGCCCTAAACAATTAGCGACTTGCCTATCTTTGTGACTTTGCCGGCTATATGGCCATGTTCTAGAGGCATTCTCTCCTGACATTTTGCCTGCATCTATGACAAGTATCCTCAAAGGTTGTGAGGTCACAACCTCTGAGAATGCTTGCCGCAGATGCAGGCGAAATGTCAGAAGAGAATGCCTCTAGAGCAGTGGTTCTCAACCTGGGGTCCCCAGATGTTTTTGGCCTACAACTCCCAGAAATCCTAACAGCTGGTAAACTGTTAAACCACTGCTCTAGAACATGGCCACGTAGCCTGAAAAACGTACAACAACCCAGTGATTCCAGCCATGAAAGCCTTTGACTTATTTTAACCTGTTTTGTTGGGCATGTCCCTTTAAGCTGCCCCGAGTCCCTTCGGGAAGATGGAGGTGGGGTATAAAAATAAAGTTATTATATTATTAAATGAACAAGTTAAAAGGAAATGCCCAAATGCCTTCATTCACAACTTGAAAGCTCCAATTGAGATCTTCCATATTTCTGATGGCCCTAACTCTGTCCTATGTTTTCCCTATCTGACTTTTTAATAGACAATGTGTATCCTCCCCCCGTCCCCCAGACCTCCTGCACAGTAGTCCCAAAACTGCATGGTATTCATCCCACCATCCCTTTCACAGTAGTCCCTGAATTGTTATTAGCTGGCTCTAACCAGGTTTTCCTGCCTTTTCCTCACAGGGGGCAGTTCTTAACATGGTGGTAGTTTGAACCTAAAAGTACAATAGAATGAGTCTAATGGAAAATGTGACCTAAAGAAGCAATGAGAAAACATGGGAGTTACACATGAAAAATTAAGGAATGCTTGATAAACCTTGTGAATGAGGCAGAGGATTTCGTGATTTTTAAAAAAAACTTTATCTCAAGACATCCAGTAATAAATCACTGTAGGAAAAATCTGTTTTAATTAACAAATATATTAATAAATAAAATTTTCCTTTAAAATTACCCCTCTCTGATAACTATATTGATAAGTGGAAAAAATCTTTTTAAATTCAACTACTCACCTAACTGTCACTGCATAGAAAACCCAGAACAAATGAGGTAAGGGATTTTGTCTCATTCTGTTCCCAGACCTGTCATTCTTTTCTAAGTTAATATAGTGGGAAAAGTTTCTGTAGAATTGAAGTGGCCTTTGTTAAGCAACCTGCTTTTGCCCAATGAATATCAACATAGAAATCCCAATGGACTCTACATGAGAAACTACTGTAGAAGAATTTGTTCCATTATGTGAAAGGAGGCCGATTGAGAAATAGTACCCAAATGAAAAGGCATGAAAATGCAAAGACTATTCTTACCCAAGCAGGCAGTGAATGGGCACAGCTGGGGGTGGTGTGGGGGTAAGGAATGTTATACAGATTGTCCCATGTACTATATTTTCAAAATGATGGCAGTTCAGCTGGGTTTTCTCTTTTGTCTGAGGGTCTAAAATGTGTTAGTTATCCTTGAAAATGTACTAGTAGTTAGGAATATGCATGCCCTATTCTGTTTGGGAAAGAATTGCTGTAATATGTGAGCTACTTTGTGTTATTCAACTATTCTAAACAAAGAAGCAGGTACTCAATACTGAATGGTGTTAACAGTTAATTGTGGCATTTGAGTGTGCATGAAATGTTACTCACATCTACATAGAGCCTAGCAATTATGATTTATAAGCCTGACTAAAGCTGTAGATTCAGAAGCTTATTATGACAGAATACTAGATTTCAGTTAATTGGACTCAAGTTCGTTACTTGAGCTAAACTGATTTCCAGACTATTCTTACTCTGTCTGTCTGTCCATCTATCTATCCATCTTTATATATATCATAATCACTTGCACATTAAGAAAATATCATTTACCATGCCCAGAACCCTGTTGGATGCACAGGATATTGTGGAAGGAGGAATCCACTATTTCCTTTGTGCAGTGACCCAATAGGGTCACACACTATCTGTTGCATAACACCACTATAAGCATCTAGTGTTTGGGGAGGCTAGATAACATTCAGAGAATGACACCCTCCTAGAATTCTGGAGGGCACACACACACACAGACACACACAGACACAACTGGATGCTGATGGGAAGATGGAAGGCAGGTTAAGCGGGGCGGCACTGGGTAATGTAAGCACAAGTTAACTAGTTATGTAACTGTCCTCAAGTCAACTTCAACGTATGGTGACTCTATGAATGAGAGACCTCCAGATCACTCTATCAGCAGCAGCCCTGCTCAGCTCCTGCAGAGCTGTGGAAAGATCAATTAAGGAAGCTTAATTGGTCTTTCCATCCATACATACATTAAAGATCTGGAGCCAAAAACATGCATATTCTCCTAAGCGAAGCTGACTAGAAAATGAAATTTTAGCCTAGCAATTTATCTGAACATTTCAAATATCTATTTCTGCAACATCTATTTAATCCAATACCAGACAAAATACTCTTAATCTTAGAATAATGCTTTGTTGTTGTTCATTTGTTCAGTTGTTTCCGACTCTTCGTGACCTCATGGACCAGCCCACGCCAGAGCTCCCTGTTGGCCATCACCTTCCCCAGAATAATGCTACTTAATCAAAACATGTATAAGATTATATACAGGCAGCTCCAAGTTACAAACAAGATAGGTTTCATAGGTTTGTTCTTAAGTTGGAACAGGTACATTTTTAAAAGTGTAACTCCAGCCATGTGTGTGTGTTTATTAATACAATACAATACAATACAATGCAATATAATACATATAAAACTGCACTCCATGCAATCATGACCTAGGAGGCGTCTACGGACAATGCTGGGCTCTTTGGCTCAGAAATGGAGATGGGCACCACCTCCCAGAGTCAGATTTGACTAGACTTAATGTCGAGGAGAAACCTTTACCTTTACCTTTTCATATACATATACACCTGCCCTGAGTCGCCTGAGGGTTGAGAAGGGCAGTATACAAATACAGTAAATAAATAAATAAATAAATAAATAAATAAATACA